AAAGACTGCAGGCTGCTTGGCAGGGTGACTCCTTGCAATCTCTGGTTGAACTGACAGCCAAAGGTCAAAGTCTGCAAGCTACTTGGAAAGGTCACACCTACCAAGCTCTGGTTGAACTGACCGCCGAAGGTCAATGTCTGCACGCTACTTGGAAAGGTGACACCTTCCAAGCTCTGGTTGAACTGACCGCCGAAGGTCAACGTCTGCAGGCTATTTGGAAAGGTGACGCCTTCCAGGCTCTGGTTGAACCGGTAGCCAAAGGTCACACACTGCAGGCTGCTTGAAAAGGGGACACCTTCCAAGCTCTGGTTGAAATTGTCGCTGAAAGTCAATGTCTGCAGCCTACTTGTAACGGTCACACCTTCCAAGCTCTGGTTGAACTGGTAGCCGAAGGCCAAAGACTGCAGGCTGCTTGGCAAGGTGACACCTTCCAAGCTCTGGTTAAACTCCCTGCCGAAGGTCAATGTCTGCAGGCTGCTGGGCAAGGTGACGCCTTCCAAGCTCTGGTTAAACTCCCTGCCGAAGGTCAAAGTCTGCAGGCTGTTTGGCAAGGTCACACCTTGCAATCTCTGGTTAAACTCAATGCCGAAGGTCAAAGTCTGCAGGCCGCTTGGCAAGGTAACCCTTTCCAAGCTTCCACTGAAGTCCCCGCCGAAGGTCAAAGTCTGCAGGCTGCTTGGCAAAGTGACACTTTCCAAGCTCTGGTTGAACTTAGCGCCGAATGTCAAAGTCTGCAAACTGCTTGGCAAGGTGACACCTTGCAAGCTCTGGTTGAACTTAAAGCCGAAGGCCAAAGTCTGCAGGCTGCTTGGCAAGGTGACACCTTCCAAGCTCTGGTTGAACTGACTGCCGAAGGTCAAAGTCTGCAGGCTGCTGGGCAAAGTGACACCTTCCAAGCTCTGGTTGAACGAATAGCCGAAGGTCAAGGTCTGCAACTTGCTTGGCAATGGGACAACTTCCAAGCTCTGGTTAAAGTTGTTATCAAAGGTCAAAGTCTGCAGGCTGCTTGGCAAGGTGACACCTTCCAAGCTCTGACTATAGTCCTCGCCGAAGGTCAGAGTCTGCAGGCTACTTGGAAAGGTGATACCTTCCAAGCTCCGATTGAAGTTCTTGCCGAAGGTTAAAGTCTGCAGGCTGCTTGGCAAGGTGACACCTTTCAAGCTCTGGTTAAACTGACGGCCGAAGGTCAAACTCTTCAGCTTGCTTGGCAAGGTGACACCTTCCAAGCTCTGGTTGAACTCGTAGCCGAAGGTCAAAGAGGCGATTGCATCCGTCACTGTGGCATGCATGTGGTCACTTGTTCCCTCTTTGAGGGCTCTCCAGAAGCCAATCGCTGCCTCCAGTGCACAAACCTGTCGAATGACATATGAGATCTCTCGGCCACACACTTCTTGCAGCTGTTGCAAACGCTTGGAGGGGTCCTCCAGGATTTGGCCGCCAGCGAAGAGAACGAGTTTTCGACCAGCCGTCATGCCAATTCTTCTGCTGATAGTCTTTGAGAGGTCGCCCACCTCATGAGACGGTTCAAAACTCAAAAGAATTTGGTGCAAGTCCGTGTCCAACCTTCCAGATTCGAATCTTGCACACAGAAATATCCTGTATAGTATATATATATATAGCTACCGAATGCTACCCCGCTCTACCGACACAACTTCCCGCACCCTCCTGTTTCGCTACCGACACAACTTCTGCATATTTCTGCATCACCACACCCTCCATGAAGTGTCCTCTGTTTTGAGAGCACAAAAAGTGGGCAGACCTGGAGTCATCTGACTTTTCTGGCTGCTTCAAGATATTTCGAGAGGCCGAATTCGTCTCTCCGAGATACTCAGGGCGCCATTCTTGGCTAACATAATGTCCATGACGTTTCTGGTGATTGCTGTTTGGATGATGTATGGTGTTCTTGGGAAACAAAATATAGCGTGGTATCGAAATTTGTCCAAAACCTTGAACACCAAGCGAGATCATCAGGTAAAGTTGAACAAGTTTTAACTTGAACATCAAGCTTTGTAGTAGTTCGGCATGGCGCTGCAGGGCAACTCTGTTGCAAGGTAAACCGCTGAATTTTGACGTGTTCTTTTGTTGGGGCATGTCAATCAGCTGCTTGATGTGGTTTCGACATCCACTTGAACATAGGACGACATATGCTTTAAAACCTTCCGATGCAGAGGTTGTCATGTGCTGTCAAGTAGTTGCCAAGGGCTGCTGGGTAGACTTCGCAATTCTATATACATATATAATATATAGATTATATATCTGACTGATATATAAGCTTGAGTTGCTTGGCTTTCAACAGTTCAACATGCTACTTATTCAGAATCTAGCCTCTTTCGGGGAACCCCCCAGCCGTTTTTCCGTGGAATTCCATGTCTCCAGGGGCATGAAGACTGCCAAAATGCATCTTCGAAAAGTCCAAAGCCCCAAAACGGACACATCGGGTGTCTGCATCAAGAGATTCGCCTCTGGGGCCAACTCTTCCCCGACGGAAAACGTGCTGTCTGGCCACGTTCGCGTCCGTTTCATCCACCGGGAGCTGAAAGGTTGTGCCATCGAGGCCGTTGATGCTCCAAACGTTCTGCGAGTTCCGCCGTGCCTCCGCCACCAGCCTCACAGTGCGCACACGTCGTGAACACGTGGAACACATTGGATCTCACAGGGTCAACCGGATTCGACGAACTTATAGTGACAAAAAATATCCTGATCGAGGCTTCGTGGCCTGCGAAGAGCTGGGTCGGTCCAATTCACTGGCAAATGAGAACCTCCTGATGAACGAGGAGGTTTGCAAAGCCTCTCTTGGGCAGGTTGCTTTACTCGAAAAAAGACCAGGCTGAAGCAAGCAAAGGCTCCTAGAAGAAAATGAAACTGCATAAAACCGCAAACTTTCCAGCAGGGTTGTGCAAGCTTGTTGCCTAGAAGGCAGGAGAGGGGGGCACCGAGCGGAGGTCGCTTCATCAGGTGGCCGTCTATCGGAGCAACGAAGTGAAGGAGCAGCAAGTTGGCACGTGAAATATCAACTGCTGAGACTCAACGGATCCGAGATCCGCTGAGCAAACGGATCTGGCATCAACGAGAGAAGCGGCTTAGCAGCAGTGCTTTTGGTCGAGAACGAGCAGATCTGAAATATGTCTACCTACGGCAAGGAGTGACCAGCCAAGTCCAAGTCCAAGAAGTCCTCTTGGAGATCCAAACATTGGTGAGCTCGAAAGCGCATCCAACCCGTCGACAGCAGTGACCCAGTGACCCATTGACTCGCCCCCCTTTCACCCAGGTTGTCATCGTCCAAACCGCTTATCAGTACCGACCTATTCGTTGTTCATTCATCTAAGAATTCCTGCGCCAAATCAGATTTTCAATACACGCTCATACTCACATCTATGCACCTTGTTTGATGGGGTTCAGGTGGTAGGATTAATTAGTATACTTCTTTCAACCGCACCACCACACCACGCACCTCGTGAAACACCCTCAAACACCCTCCAAGCAGCTCAGCCGCCCTGTGCAGCAGCCGCTCCGCCCGCTCCAGATCCTCTGCGATGAACTTCCGCAGCACCGCTTTGCAAGCTTCATCGTCGGGCAACGACACAGCGCTGGTGGCCCCCATGGCGAGTGGTGGATCGTCCAATGGCAGAAAGGACAAGAAAAGAGAACAAGCTGCTTTGGGACAGTTGTGCAGTTCTTTGAGAACCCATTTCTCGTTTCTGAGCGTCAAATCCTATAGACTTAATTACTACACATGGACAACAGGAACGTGCATCACACTGAGCTAAATGGACCAGCGGTGTGCTCAAGCAAGGGCTTTGGCACATAGAAATTTGACGGGAACAGCCGCTGGCAGATGGCTACGAAGCTTGACATTTAGCAAATCCACTGCTACAAGACAGCTGCCAAGCATCTGACAGCCAACACAAACCAAACAAAGTGGTTGTAGGATGTTGTACTGCACGTGAAGTTTCTTTGTTACATGCATATCACTATCCAGCCGTACCTCTTCTTTGTAAATACTTTTGGGGTCTTACTGCAAACCAAACAACAGGTCTTTCGTTGTGGCTGAGGGGGAAAATCCGTTCGAACGCACCTGTTTTCTCTTCGTTCATCTCCCCAGCATCTCTCTGGAATGGCCGTTGTTCGAACAACAAAATGTCTTAGCGGTAGAAATCCCTTATCAATCAGGGGATGGCGAAGGCGCGACCGAGAAGGTGTTCCGACACCCAGAGAAGATGGGAACCGAGACAATGCGGCAACCTGGACATTCTGGGATGAATCGGGTGTGGCCCAAAAACGACTCGAAAGGTTGTGGATTCGACTTTCACATCCACCTCTTGAAATCCCAAAATGCGAACCGCATTCTCCCAAACGCGCGCGTTGAGTCAGTCGCCTCCCCGTGACGAGATCTCGGGTCCCCCACGCCACTCGTGACAGCGGTGGGCACCGCATCGCCACGCACCATGTGGAGATCGTGGAGGTCGGCGGGAAGATCGAACCACCGGGGTCGGTGGGATGAGCGGATAGGTGTTTTTCTCCGGGATTGGCGGATAGGTGGCGATCCAGCATTGCTTTCTTCGCCAAGAAAGAGCAGTAGCTGGAAGCAAGCCCACTCCAAAGCAATATATATATATGTATATACAGTAATTAATTAATCATAACTATATGTTAAGCAAGAACTGCACTGACTCCAAAAGGTGATAATGGCAACTCTGATCATGAGAGATCCATTCTGATTCTGAAATGCTGAAATGGTTTGAATGTCAAATGGTTTCGTCTCCTTTGACCAAACCCGATATATATATATAATATATCACAACTCAGGGAGCTTTCTCCTTTCCGCGTCTCCACATCTCTACCGTCTCCGCTGAGATAAGCATGTTCATTCCGTGGATGGCCCGATGTTAAAGGAAAAACGACTTGAGATCAGGTGAAGTCCACTTCAGATTTGTTGGATTAGTGACAAGTAAACCAAATTCATGGATGACATAGGGGATGAACATGAGTTTGATTGCAAAAGACTGTAGTCGACTCCAACGTTGGGTGAATTATATATTGACTACACTGGCCTACACTTTGAGGGCTGTTTTCTTCTGGCTGATCTGGCTCCCGTCGACTGGCGGGTCAGCTCAAGCGCTGTGCTTGGACCATGGTCAGCGACCGAATGAACTCACATGTGCAACAAAGAACGCGGACAGTCCGGGATCCTGACTTTGAAACCATCTGGGCCTGGGTCAAAAGAAAGTGGAGTCAGGATCCAAACCGAAACAAATCCACTCAAACCTCTGCGGCTCTTACTTTTTTGCCACATTCATTGGTGCGTGTTTGTGTGTGGGTGGGTCAAACTGGCAAAGCGAAACCGTCCCACTCTCCAACCCAAAGGGTTCATGGCGAATTCTCTGTGAAGCCTCACAAGGCTGAGGAAAAGAGCGGGAAAATGGAGAAGTGATAAGTCAACGAAGGGGTGGAGTTGAGCTAATTACTGAGACATGATGACATGATCATCTCACAAGTGAAATCATCAACTTGTCCAAAACAGGGATCCTGATCCTCCAAGAAGTGCAACCGAAAAGACTCTAAATTTCTCCAAATCCCTGGCCGCATGCCCAAGCGCTTTCAAGTTTTCTTTGGAAAAAACGATGACCAGCGCCGCATCCGCCAGCATGACACCTCGAAGCGTCTTTCTCCTGGTCCCTTTTTCAAGGCTCGCCAAGGTGGAACATATGCCCGAAGGACCAACATGAGTCATATGCCCGAAGGAACAAAGGTGAAGGTGCCCGAAGGACCACCGCTTCACATGCTTCACTATACTTTAAGCATAGAACCTTTTTGACAGGATGAAAGCTCCAAGATGTCAGGGAAAGCATTGTGTATGTCACTTCGCTATGTACAAAATAGGACTCACCTGCTCAGGTGTCTCTGGACAGTGCTTTGAGCCATCTGACAGCTGACACGATCTCCCATGTGAGCTACACCCAAAGGATCATAGATCCAAGATTAGAACGGTGGGGTTTTCCTACCCAGGCCCGGATCCTACCCAGCTCCGGTTACTCGGTTACTTGAGGTTCAGAAAAATGCCAGAAGTCTTTTCATGAAAATCGTGGTAAGTTCTTCGGATTTCATGGGGCATTTGTATGGATTTGTTGCTTGATCCACATTGATCTACTACTTCTTTGCAAATTCAAAAGCATCCTGTAGACTCTTGGCGGTATCGAATAAAGTGAAGCGATAGTAAAAAGTCTAGGACTTCCTAGGACTGGGAACACTGACTTCACAAACCACAACGTGCGATCCAACTTCGCTACTCACTTCACCAGGTGTGTTCCTTTCGTCTTCACATGTCTTCACCTTTTCACTCCCAGCACCGTCGGCGAATTCTGCTTCACGTCCGGTCTTCGGCTTCACCTGGCTCGATGCGGGTGGCGGTTGGTGTCGACCCAAGACATCCCGTGTCCTTCAGGACATTTGGACTCCAGTACCAAAACGATGGCGGACCACTTATCCTGATCGGACAAGGCCTCCGGGTCATGTTCTGCATCATCTTTCCACGGAAAAAACAAAAACAAAGACTTGAACCCGACTCCTCGTTGCACCGGTTCGACGGGGATGTGTTCGGTCAACGACAACCACTCGAGAGTGGGCCCGTCCTGGGTGGCTTTCCCAGTTCTGGGCTCCCACGGCCAGGCAACCAGGCCGTCCGCGAGGACCTCGTCTCCGATCCGAGGGCTCCGTCCGCGTGGCATGCTCCGCGTGGCATGCTCCGGTGGAGGGTCCAGACCGGTGGTGGAGAAGAGGTTTTTGATGTAGATTTGATCGTCAATTCACAACCATCTTGGCACTGTATAGCAAGTGCGCTTGCAGTATGGTCATCCAAGGGAGCGCCAGCATGGGGAGGCACTAGCCGACTTCGGGTCGATCGCTGTTCAAACCGTGAACCCGAAAACAAAAATTGGTGCCTCCTTTTGAACCGTTGGTCCTTTGATGTTCTATGTATTGCCATATTTAGACTGTCCAATAGACTGTATGTTATATGCTATTTATATGCAACGCGCACCAAAACGGTTGTTATTTGTTTCACGACCCAAGAACGATCCCCAAGACATGAAGTGGCGGGCCTACCAAGGTTACTTCTGTGTAAACGGGTTTTCCAAGTCTCTTTTTGCAGCAGGGTGAGCTGTGTTCTAGTTGTTGCATTCCCAAATCCTGTCTGCAATTCATGGGTGCGTGTTCAATAAGAAAATCAGGTAAACGGGAAAGTCGCCAAAACATCTTGAGTGGGCGTGGGGGTCTCCCCATCATGTGGAAATATATTCAAATACTGTGGTCAGTAGGAAGGATGATCGTCCTCGCCCTTCCTGTATCTGCCACCACGTGCTGTGCTTATTTAAACAGGAAAATCATCCAAGATATCTTCCCACAAAAAGTCCTCCCAAACCAAGATGGGCACTAAACATTGAACCGTCTGGAAGACTTTCATGCTTGCCAGAGCTACCTGCGCCTTTCCTCGTGTGCAAAGGAGGTGAAGTAGGGCGGAACACCTGAGCAGTGGAAATGGTTAGATCCACTCCCTGAAATAAACATGGAAGTGGAAATCCATCTGTTTTGTTGTGGCTCAGGAGGGAAATCCAAGAATGCAACCATCTCAAATTTTCTCTCCCCAACATTATCTATAGACCGGGAACCCCACAAGTGGTTGTTAATAGAAGTTCGTTCTCAATCAAGGGGTGGGTGTTCCTACGCCCGGTGAAGATTTTCTGAGACAACACCACCTTGCAACCCGGATCCGGCCAGGCATGACTACAAGCAGAGGCGCTGCGCGTCATTCTTGCCAGTGTTTCGAAAGCTAGAGAGGATTCCTCACACCACTTTGGTACATAATTAGTTAAAACTCCGAGCAATGAACACAAACTTCAAAATCCTCACAGCCAAACTGACGCAAGCTGCTTGGCAATGTGATGTCGCCCAAGTATCCTGCTTCGAAGCCAGGACAACCGGTCAAACTTTGAAGGCTGCTTGGCAGGGTGACACCTTCCAAGCTCTGGTTGAACACCTTGCCGAAGGCCAAAGTCAAAGTCTGCAGATTGCTTGGCCAGGTGACACCTTGCAAGCTCTGGTTGAATTTTGCGCCGCAGGTCAAAGTCTGCAGGCTACTTGGAAAGGTGACACCTTTCAAGCTTTGGTTGAACCAATGGCCGAAGGTCAAAGTCTGCAGGCTGTTTGGCAAGGTGAATTCTTGCAAGCTCTGGTTGAACTCGTGCCCAAAGGTCAAGTTCTGCAGGCTGCTTGGCAAGGTGACACATTTCAAACTCTGGTTGAACCGGTAGCCGAAAACCAAAGACTGCAGGCTGCTTGGCAGGGTGACTCCTTGCAATCTCTGGTTGAACTGACAGCCAAAGGTCAAAGTCTGCAAGCTACTTGGAAAGGTCACACCTACCAAGCTCTGGTTGAACTGACCGCCGAAGGTCAATGTCTGCACGCTACTTGGAAAGGTGACACCTTCCAAGCTCTGGTTGAACTGACCGCCGAAGGTCAACGTCTGCAGGCTATTTGGAAAGGTGACGCCTTCCAGGCTCTGGTTGAACCGGTAGCCAAAGGTCACACACTGCAGGCTGCTTGAAAAGGGGACACCTTCCAAGCTCTGGTTGAAATTGTCGCTGAAAGTCAATGTCT